CTCAAGTGATCCTCCTGCCTCAGCCTCCCAAGTAGCTGGAACTACAGACATGTGCCACCTCACTCAGCTAATTTTGGTACTTTTTTGTAGACAGGGTCTTGTTATGTTGCTCAGGACGGTCTCTAATTCCTAAGCTCAAATATTCCTCCCACCTTGGCCTCCTAAAGTGCTGGGATTACAGGTGTGAGCCACCACACCTGGCCTATTGTGTTTTTTTTTCCCCCAGATATTTTCCATCCATCATTGGTTGAATCCACAGTTGTGGAACCCACATATACAAAGTGTTGATTGTATCTAAAAATGAAACTATTTGAAAGGTAGAAAAACGCAGCCACGATTTTGTCTCTTAATTCTTTTCTTCCATTTTCCTGTCTGCTAGACTCAGTGGTAACCCAAGAGGGAAGGAGTTTAGACGGGAGAACAGGTAGAGATGAGTGGGAAAGAGACAGCATTAAGGCCTTCAAGTCTGTAAAGGGTGAATGCAGACTGCAGCACAGGACTACCACCTGGTCGCTGGTCTCAGCTGCCAGGAAGAGCTGTAGCTTTGTCACCATCCTCAGCTCGTCTTGCTCCCATGATCCCTGCCTCAGTTTGCTCGGCTCCTGGCCTCCTTGGAGGAAAATGCCTGTGTCAATGGGAGCATGATGGAGGGTTCCAGGTTGAGGTGGGATGGGGGATAAGGACATGTTTGCATGAACATGTCCTAAAGGAACATGTACATAAGGAAATGGACTCCCATCTGGAGAGTGAGCAGGGGGAGGTGGGCACTGCAAGGAGCAGGAAGACAGGCCGGATGTCTAGAGGTTGCTCCATAACCCCTAGTTCCTTTCGAGTGTCCTGCTTTGTCTGTTCTGGCTTTCACCCCATCCCAGAAACCTGGAGAAACCTCAACTGGAACGTTGAGTGAGAAGATTCCAGCTCTCTGGGCCCAGGGTGAAAAAAGGAAGTTGTATGAAAAGAGGAGAAAGGAAAAAACAGTCTCATATTGTGCAACAAGTGAAGTCCCACATTGCCCCACTTCGAGGATTCCATGCTGCCGTTTGTAATTCCTGGTGAAGCATTTCTTCATGAGGCTGCCCAGGCTCCTGCAGCCTTCCCTGGTGGTCCTGCCTCTGTGGAGCTGAGCTCCTCCCTTCCCATTTGCTGAGTGGGAAAGGGACTCCATCATGAGGGAGGAGACCTGGATTCTGGCCCTAGCCCTGCCTGTTCACTAACAATGAACCAGAGACAGGTCATGGCTCTGCTCTGGGCTGCATCTGACAGATGAGAGGATGGACTCTCCCAGGTAGCAATCCGGGACCCCTCAGAGCACCCTAGGTGTCTCTAGAAGAGGCATACTTCCTAAGGGTCCTGGACCCTGGGTCAAGCCTCAGCCCCAGAACTCAGTTGCTGAAGCAGATCTCCCCTTGGGACGCCTCTCCTCATTATAGTCCATCTCCTTGAGGTGTGCCCCTCTCACCCTGGGTTCCTCCTGCAGGGAGGTTTGGCTCACCCTCCAGAATGCTCCCTTTCCTGCCACACTGAGCTACTGGGGGTCGCTATTGGTGATGTGTCAGTTGGTGGTTGTATTTGTTTCTATTGCTGCAAAATATTACCACACACTTAGTGTCTTATAACCACGTATTTATTCTCTCAAAGTTCTAGAGGTGAGCAATCTGAAACTAGTTTCCCTGGGCCACACTCCCTTTGCAGGCTCTAGGGGAGGAACAATTTCCTTGCCTTTTCCAGCTTCCAGAGCTGCATCCTCACACCTCTTGGCTCCTGGCCTCTTCCTCCATCTTCTAAGCCAGCAGCATAGCATCTTGCTTCTCTGGTCACATTGCTACCTTCTCCGCTATTGCCACATTTTTCTCTTCCTCCCTCTTATAAGGACACTTACAGCTACATTAGGGCCTGACCAGATAATTCAGGGCAATCACTCATCTCAAGATCCATAACTTGATCATATCTCCAGAGTCCCTTCTGCCACATAAAGTGACATTGACAGGTTCTGGGGAATAGGATGTGGATGTCTTGGGGGCCATTATTCAGCTACCACAGTGATCTATACCTTGTCTCTGGCTTGGGGTCATCCATTCTCTCTCCCATCCCACCCCCTCAGAATAGAATTGTATATTTTTCTCCAAATCCACACCCTAATCTTACAGGCCATCCCAACTGCCCCTCCCTTCACTTTCTTTAGGCTCTGAGAATATTCTAGGAGACTGCCCTCCAACGGAACTTTCTGCGATGATGGACAGAAAGTCCATAATC